CACCAACAGTGTATAAATGTTTCAGTCTCTCCACAACCTCTCCAGCATTTATTATTTTGTGTTTTTTGGATTAATGCTAGCCTTGTTGGGGTGAGTCTAAGCTTTAACCTTTAAAAACAGGATAAAAAGAAGAATAAATAAAAATTAAACAGAAGGAAGGAAATAATAAAGAAGAATAAACCCATTGCCGTTGAGTCAATTCCAACTCACAGCGACCCTACAGGACGGAATAGAACTGCCCCATAGAGTTTCCAGGGAGTGCCTGGTGGATTCGAACTGCAGATCTTTGGGTGAGCAGCCATAGCTCTGAACCACTACACCACCAGGGTTTCCAAAGATAAAAAATTAATAAAATGGCAAACAGAGAAAGAATACGAAAAAAAGCAATAAAACGAAAGGCTGTTTCTTGAAAAGATAGACCATCTTTATTGATAACTCATAAATATTTAGCCAGAGTGATCTGAAAAAGTGGAGGAAAAAAAAATAAGTTGCCAATATCAGATGCTACAGACATTAAAACAGTAATGAAGGACTATTATGAAAAAATTTATGCAAACAAATTCAACAGCCAAAATAAAATAAAATTTCCTTGAATAATCCAATCTACCAAACCTCTGCACTCAAGAAAAATTAACCTGAATAGCTCTATACCTATTAAAGAAATTGCATTCAAACTTAAAAACTTTCCACAAAAAGAGGAAAAAAAAAAACATAAAAACTCCAGCCCCAGATAGCTTGACTGATGAAGTTTATCAAATAGTTAAGAAGGAAATAATATCATGTCTACATAAACTCTGCCAGAAAACAGAACAGTAAGAAATACTTCCCAAATCATTTTAAGAGGCCAGCATTACCCTAATACCAAAACCAGAAACAGACTTTCAAGAAAATTATAGAATCATATACCTCAGGAATATATATGCAAAAAAATTCTCAACAAAAATTTAGCAAATAGAATCCAACAATACATAAAAACAATAATACATCATGTCCAAATAGAATTTATCCTAGGAACACAAAGCTGGCTTAACATTTGCAAATCAGTCAATGTAATTCACCAAAGCCTAGACTCCAGGCTTCAGGTTCCTGGCTGGAGACTGGGTTTAAACCTGCTCCAATGTGTTTCTTTCCTCTTTAGACTAGTGGCTATGTGAGGTATGGTCTTTTCATGGAGAGTGGCAGGAGCTCAACAGCTGACAAGCCAGACCACACAGGCACTATAACAATCCATTGGTCTAAGCCAATCACTTAGTCCAAATCTTTATCAGTGAGGCTGGATAACACACTGGCCTCCAAGGAAGAGAGAAGCAATATTTTCTGAACAATAATCAAGACTATCACAAATAGTGATCATAAATACCCACTGCCATCAAGTTGATTCTGACTCATAGTGACCTTATAGGGCAGAGGAGAATTGCCCCATACAGTTTCCAAGGAGTAGCTGGTGGACTTGAACTTTTGGTTAGTAGCTGGTTTCTTAACCACTTTGATCATAATAATTCAATATTAACATCCATTAATGTCCAGAAAAATTTTTATTAAAGGCACTAATAAAGTGTAGGCATTATTCAAGGATGAGAGGGAGAGGAGCCAAAAACAAATCCACCTGAATTAAGAAAATGGTTATAGAATATCTTTCTAGAAGTCCAAACCAAAAAAAAAAAAAAAAAAATTGGATTCAACAAATCAGTAAGAGCCAGTAAACAAACTAAAACCCTGTATAATAAAGTAGCAAAATGAAAAGTACTCTTTTTTAAAAAAATGGAAGGATTACCCCTTGTAAAGATATCTCCATTGCCAGAAGAGATAACGTAAGTGTCTGACACATAATATGCCTTCCTTTAGTGGTAACAGTCATCACCATCCTCCACACCACCTGCATTATCATCATTATTACTTTCTTCCAGAATGCCCTGCTTTATCTCTGCTTGTCTTGAGTTTTATCGGCCATTTTTCTGACCACTGATATAATCTATGAGATACTCCAGCCATTTATCCTATTATCTGAAACACTTTTTCATTTATGAAAAATTAAGTTATTTTCAAGTATGTAGATCTTGCCATGTAAACCTGAAACCCTCTAATGAATGGGAAGTCAGTAATAATCAGTTCATTGTATAATAACGTTTTATGCATTGTAGCCCAGTTTTGAAGAAACTCAAGAATAAAATTGTTAGATACCTGTCTTCCTGTTCTAGGGATAAAGTTTTATTCAGTTTGCCAGTTTGTCCTAAAATATAATTTACTATGTATTTGTCATTTTGTCTTCTAATACTTCTAACTTGTCTTTTTTATTAATCTTAACAGCCCTACGTGTACTAAGCATTAAAATTCCTTTTGTACGAATAAAGAAGAAAAAAAAAAAAAAACAGAGAAGTGAAGAAACTTGCCCAGGGTTACACAGCTGGTAAGTGAAAAACCTGAGTTTGAAACCAGATCTTTCTACCTCTAACTAACTAATTAACCCACTGCTGTTTAGTCGATTCCGACTCGTGGTGACCCTACATGCGTCAGAATACAACTGCGCTCCACAGGGTTTTCAATGGCTGTAATCTTACAGAAATAGATTGCCAGGCCTTTCTTTCATGGTACCACTGGGTGGATTCAAACCACCAATCTTTCAGTTAGTAGTTGACTGTAAACCATTTGTGCCACCCAGGGAAGTCTTTCTACCTCTAGAACTGATACAGAGTCTTTTACCTTCATTGTACTCCCTCTAAAATCCAGAAAATCAGTCTGAACTCTTACACACTGCTTGTGGGAGTATAAACTGGAACCACAACTTGGGAAGCCAAATTTTCACATTATCAAGCAAGGTTAAAGATACACAAAGTCTGCAAACAAGCAAGTCTTTCACATACATTCCTTGTCCTCTCTCCTAAACCATCAGTGTTTCTGAGTTTGCTGGATCATTCCCATCAGCATACAAGCATGCAGTAAAATGTTTTAAAGGGATGTCTATAGCTGTCTCCAATTCCTCCTTTTCCATTCTCTACTAAAGTCTTCCAATCAGGGATTTATTTCAATTAATTCTCTGAAACAACTCTTTGTAAAGGTCACTATGACCTCCACATTGTCAAATCCAAAAGTAAATTCTCAGCCCTAGTCTTACCTGACCCATCATCAGCATATATGACTTAATTACTCACATTTTCTTCATTTGGCACTCAGGATCTCTCTCTCATTTCTGGTTCTCAGTCAATCTTACTAGAAACTAATTTTCAGTTTCTTTTCTTGGTTTCTCCTCATGTTCCTGATCCTAAATGTTGAGGTACCCCAGGGTTCAATCTTCAGACTCTTCATTTCTAGCTACACTGACACCTCAGGTGATGTCAATCAGTACCATCACTTTAAACACTGTATTTATGCTAATGAGGCCCACAATTTTTATCTCCAGCCCAAACTCTATCCCCAACTCGAGATTCAACTTCTCCATTTTGATATTTAAGAGGGATTTCAATTTAATATGTCTGAAATGTAATTCTTGCTTTCAACCACCACTACCACTCTACCCCTTGCTTTTCCCACATTCTTCATAATCTAATTCATGACACCAAACAGATGGCTATTTAGGCTAAGAACCTTTAGAATCATCTTAGTCTCTTCTAACATTCCATGTCCAATCCATGAGCAAAACACGTCATCTCTTCCTTCAAAACATATCCAGAATCTGTCCATTCCTCATCATCTTCTCTACTACCACCCTAATCCAAGCCATCATCCTCTCTCACATTTGTAAGGACATGTGGTCTGGAAAAACACAAGAATGCAACCGTTGTGGTTATTTCCCGTTTTTGTAGGTAAGGGCTAGTTACACTATCACATTAACAGACCATTATCTGTAAAAGCAGGGAAAAGGTGAGGCCAAACTGAGCTAAGGAACTGGTGGCTATACCCTGTATTTGCTTTAGACTTTCACGAAAAGAAGTAAAAGAAGAGGAGAGATTCTTGAGATATCTTTATTATCCAACCTGGCACACAAGGGTAAGACAATAGCTAGGAATTCAGAGAAGAAGCTGAAGCCAAGACTGTATGGGGCATCACCTACATATCTTAGAACTTCTGAAGACCAGATAGACTCTACAATGAATCAAGCAAAAGAGAATTCTATCATCTAACATAGCTGGCATCTCTACAATTAGAAAACCCATACGATATTTTTCTACCATCAAACAAAAGTATTGTAGGACCTTGCACAGGTTACTTAGACGATGTGATTCTGGGTAAGTCACTAGACAGTTAAATAAAAACACAATAATCAAGAAACTTTACAGTGGACAGCCCCCTCAGGAGTAAAATTACTTCAGATAACAAATTTTTTTAAACAATCTAGAACTCAAAATTCCCTAAGAATGTCTGAGGCAGATTTCTTCTGAAGTGTTAACATGGAGGCCTCTCATAAAATATCCCTAGTGCCAATACTATATAAACAGAATACAGAGATAGGCAGATCATTATCCTAACCCAGTATGACATTCCAAGCAGCAAAAACACAGTAAGGGCACTTGATTCAACAGACCTACAGTGTTAGCTTTACCACTAAATACATGACCTTCAATAAGAAAAGCATTAAAAATTCTTACCGCAGTAAAACTACATGATTCTGTGATTTATTTACTGAGTATATAATACATTTAAGACACAGAGATAGCTGCTGCAAAAGCTACAAATAATTACAAATAGTTTAGGTGCCGATGTTCTTACTTTAGAATTGGAGTACAACTGAATGGAAGGACATCTAAACATCCCTATATCTTCATTAGGCACAACGAAAATACCCTGAAAAAGCAAATTAAGTATGTACCTTTCAGTGCTGTAGATTTTTCTTTTTCATCTGGACCTCCCTGCTGGATTTGTGCCATGCTTATCCAAATTGGCAACAAATTAAAGAGCTCAAGGAAATAGACATCAATCTTCAGAAGACAGTCTAGAATGAATGAAAGCAATAAATTAAGCTCCACTCAAATCCTACCTACTCCATGAGAACGTCCTAGATCCTCCCCAGTCAAGATTAATCTCTCTATCCTGACTCCCCACTTCACTTTGTTGATGCCTATACTATAGTACTTATCATAGCCTGCCTTGCATTTGAGTTATTTATGCATTTGTCTCGGTCAGCTAACAGATTACAAGCCCCCATGAAGATAGGCATCAAGTTTTGCCATCTTTGTATGTTTTGTGTCACCTAACACGATACTTTCTACATACAGATACCTAATGTTTGCTGAATTGAAATTAGCCAAACTTTCTATTTAGTTTTAGGTCTCCATGACCTAACATTCGAATATATATATATTTTCAGGTAGTTTCAAAATATTAATTTTTTTAAAAATAAACTAAGTATATGCTATTTACAAGATCAGAATGTCCTCCTCCTGGAATATGCAGATGACCAGAAGGAGAAAAATACATAAATACAGAAAGTACCTACAGTGTAGTTTAAAATACAACTTTAAGGAAAAAAATCATCCTTTCAAAAATGAAACTATGTCAATTTCAATGTCTGGAATCCACACTCTATAAACTGTACTCCAGCAAACAATCATACTATAAATCATAATGTAAATTATGATTTCTTAAAATCTAATTCTGTGCTCCTTTGGCCAAAGGAAGGCATTAAAACTATAAATAGATGTATTTTCCCAGGGTGTCCACAAACAGTGAAGCAAACCACTATTCCTGAAGTCTTAAAAAAAAAAAAGGCAACACATACAATAGAGAAAATTAAACTAATTTAGTCAATCGATCCCTAACTATTGATGAAAATATATTAAAACTACATTCATGACAACAGTTTAAAAAAAAAGAGTATTTCTTTGATTAAGGAACCCAAATGATTTACTACACACAAAGCAAATTTCAGTTTATGTTCAGAGACATATTTTACAATTATCTCTAAAATTTGAGGCATATTTATACTCACCAGAGTGTAGCAGAAAATACTTTAAAAAAAATAACAGTGAGAGTAATAAATATTTTTAAGCTATAAATGCTCCGAATAATCATAAATCAATGCTGCCCTTACTTCAACTCCAACTACAGGCGGTGTGGATCCACCACCAACTAGCCCCGTGCCCTTGACAAAGTATTTAACTTCTCCATGAGTGGCACAAACGTTTGTGCTCAACTACTAACCTAAAGGTTGGCAGTTTGAATCCAACCAGCAGCGTTGTGGAAGGAAGGTCCGGCGATTTGCCTCTGTAAACACTGTAGCCAAGAAAACCCTATGAAGTAGTTCTATTCTGTGACACATGGAGTTGCTACAAGTCAGAATCGACTTGATGGCAACAGGGGTGTTTTCTGGTTGGGGGTGGTGGTGCCTCATTTTCCATACCTGTAAAATGGGAATGACAGTCGTGCTTCCCTGGTAGCGTTACAGTGAGGATTAAAGGTGATAGCAAGCGTAAAACATTTAGTATACTGCCTGGTCCATGATTAAGTACTCAACATACATTAGCTTATATTTTTTTAATTATTGTTGTAAATGTACCCTAGCTTTACCTACCTCTGTTGTCTGGGGCAAGTTACTTAGTATCCAAAATCTTCAATTTCCTCACTTATAAAATGTATAAAACCCACTGCCGTCAAGTCAACGACGACTCATAGTGACCCCCTAGGACAGAGTAGAACTGCCTCATGGTGTTTCCAAGGCTGCAATCTTTATGAGGCAGACTGCCACATCTTTCTTCCCTGATAAAATGTACAACATAACATATATTATATAATAGTGGTGAAAATTAAACATTGTACAAAATGTGAAGAGCTGATCACTGCATTATTAGCAGTATTACTGCCACTCAATGGTGTGAGGTTTCCTAACAGGAATAACTAGAAGACTATTTTTTACTAAGAAAACATTTTCACTTTGCATGTAAATATCTGCTATTTTTCTTTTGTGAAAAGGTAACTCAAAACTCTGAAAATTCTACATGAATAAAATGCGTCTTTAGTCCTTCAAGAAATATATCCTAGTTAATAGGGTAGACAATGTGTAAGACCCTGGGACTGCAATGGTGAGTAAAATAGACATGGTCACTGTCCTCATAGGGGCTTACTTTCTGGCTGCCAAATCAAACTGCCAAAAAGCTACAAGTGGAATATATAAGACCTACACTGATGATTACAGTGCCGTTAGAAGAAAGCAGTATCTGTAAGGGATATCTACTTACATTCAGGAATTAGTCTTATCTGTCAAGTCCCACAAGCTTGTGCACAAGTTTCACCGGCAACTCCCTATTACAGAAATTAAAGCAGTCTCCCAAACCAAAACCCAAACCAAACCCACTGACGTCAAGTCGATTCCAACTCACACTGACCCTATAGGACAGAGTAGAACTGCCCACAGGATTTCCAAGTCTGTAAATCTTTATGGAAGCAGACTGCAACATCTTTCTCCCATGGATTTGAACTACCAACCTTCAGGTTCGCAGCCGAGTACTCTAACCGCTGTGCCACCAGGATTCCCTAAAGGAATCCCAGGGTAGTGCAAATGGGTAAGCACTCCACTACTAGCTAAAACATTGGCGCAAATGGGTAAACACTCAACTACTAGTTGAAAGGTTGGCACAAACAGGTAAGCACTCGACTACTAGCTGAAAGGTTGACAATTCAAACCCACCCAGCAGCACCTCGGAAGACGGGCCTGGCAACATGCTTCCAAAAGGTCACAGCCTTGAAAACCCTATGCAGCAGTTTTACACTGCACACACTGGATCACCATGAGTCAGAATCTACTCAAAGGCAATTAACAGCAGCAGCAGCAGAAATTAAAGAGAAATATTCATAATAAAAGATTCCACCCAACGTCCTTTTCTAACAACCCCACAACTAAATTAACTGCAGAGGACTCCTTGCATGTTTCGCTTTATCCCTCTGTCAATTCAGTATTTTTTCTAAATATAAACGATTAGATTATTTTTCACTGGCCCTAAATTGTCTTGATTCCTAAACAGAACAATTTATGCAATTATTTCATTGTGACTATTTTAAGAAACTTAAAACTATAAATTTATCCTTGGTGCTGGAGTCACTTTCAAGATTTATATTTTAAAGAATCATTTTCAAGATTCCCAAAGTTAAGTATCAATTAATAATCATTATCCTTATTTTACATGAGGCAACCTAAAAATATACAGAGTAATTCAGTGGAGTGATGATACAAGTTAGGAGACTACTAATTACTATCCGTGACCCTAAACCTTATAGTAGCAGATGCGAGCAGGTAAGCAAAATGCAAAAGCAATCTGCCTGTGACTCTCTTATTCACTGTGTTAGATTTTTTACTGTCTTAAGTTATTTTCCGTGGCTGTGGCACAGCTGGTGAAGCTAAATCAGGAACATTATAAATTCTCAATTTAGTTTTCCTAATAAAAATTCAGAGTTATAACCTGCATGACCACAGATAAACACTACTGAAAATGCAGCCAGCAAGCTGTTTGATACATTTGATATATATTAATATGTGCTCTCGACATAGTTTATTTGGCATTATCTGATGGAGGTTAGGTTATAGGGAATAAAGTCGTGGAAGGTTTTTACTGATGTGAATTGGGACCCAGTTGACATGTTGTATACTTCATGATAACCACTGCTGTTTAAATGTGGTTTCCTAGAAATGGTTACAGTATAAACTAGATTCAAAACATCTCAGTTTGCGATTTCATTCTGTGAACTACACAAAGCAATTATCATATCTGCTTTCCTTCTATGATTCCAACAGAGAATCCACCATGTGTAAATAAAGCTATAAATAACTTGTCATGTGTAATCTTTATCCAGTCATCATTTCAAAACATGAAACAGTAGAATATTTCTTAGTTGCCCCGTTTCCTCAAAATATGACATGAACACTTACAAAATGCAGAGAAAGGTACACAGAAGCCTCAGTTTTTTATGTTTGTTTATTTTTAAGTAGGTACTAAATAAGAACTAGATATATACAATTTTGCAACAGGTTTCTCCACCTTACATTCTGAATATAACCCTGAAAGTACAATACATATCACAGGAGAAGCAAAACTGGGTAACTCCCTGGGATCCTCAGGACTGATCTGGTTCTAATCTGGCCCCAAAGGGCTTATTAAGTCAGGCTCTGGAAATCCAGTTCAAAATAGGCCGACAGCAATCGAAAGTACAGTAAATGAATCAGTACCAAAGATTTGAGAGGAAGCAAAGGACCTATCCAAATCACAGCTAAAATACCAATGTTTCCAGAAGTTGCTCCTCATCAAAGTGTCAGTTTATAAAAAACACTGGACAGTATACAGTTCTCAGACTATATTGAGAAAAATGTATTTGTGTGTGTGTGTGTGAGAATGTGTGTGTATGGATAGTCGTATGGCACCAAGGGAGAGCATGAAGAATGAGGGCATCAAGTGGAGCAGACATGGAACACAAGCCCAGGATAATGTGGGTTCCTGGTGTATAGTCAATGGTAGCGTCTACATAAATGCAATCTATATTTGAATCATGGTTTAGCTCAGACCAGAAATATCCGGTTCCAACCCAAGCCTATCCAAATCAATTCCTTAGTTTCCCAGGCAAAGTGATATAACAAGTTTGAAATCTAGGTTTTTAATCTCAGTTCTACCACCTAGTAGCTGAGCAACTTTGAGAAAGCCACAACTTCTCAAATCTAAGTAATGAGAATAATAATGAAAACAAAAGCACTTACCTTTGCAGGGATATTATGAAAATCATACGAAAGAATGTAGATTTAAACATTTTGCAAACTATGAATTTCTTTACAAATAGTAGTAACCCATATAAAATCAGAAATAACTGAGTTCCAATTAATTTGTGCTCAATAACTAAAAACAGTCCAGCTTCCAGGAATGAGAAGTTTTTGATGTGCATCACCTGCATACATTCAATGAGCAAATAATAAGGCCTACAATAAACATCTGTTGAGTTGACTTGGGTTTCCAAGATTATAAATTTAAATCATTATTTTTATATATTTCTTTTTAAAACTTATTAAAATGTGTGTGTCAAAAATGGTCAAGAACATGAGTTCCATCTTCGTTTAGATGAATGCTTTGCCCAAAGAAGAACACTGTTCCAACTATTTCTTAAATGCACACACTGGTCACAGGATTATCTGATCCTTTCACACCCATTATCTTATCAGGTCACCGTAGCTGGTAAGGGCAGGCAGACTTGACAGTACCTGCATTTTACAGAGATGAGGCATCCAGGGCTAAGTAATTTGGCTAAGGATCTCAAATGGTAAGAGTTGACTGGAATTGTAACTCTGGCCTTCTGACTCCTGGTTATGAGTTCCTTCTATTCTACCATGCTGGCAGACTCAAACTACCCAACTTCACTAGAAAAAACAGTTCCAAGTTTCTTTATCCTGTAGCAAGTTTACACTCTCGTGTACTAATTTATATGTCAGGAAGTAATACAGTTTGGGCAAGTTTGAGGTAGTTAATTAACATTAATAGACTAAAGTTGTCAACCAAAATTGTCTGACTTTTTGGTTAGCTGTTCAGAATTAAGACTGACAAAATTACTCCCCATCATTTCTCATAATACGTTGATAAATCAAACACCTAAAAGAAAAAGCCAAATGTTAAGAAACAGCAAATAAAAAGAAACGAATATTGTACTACTATGTCTTTTTAACAGGTTCTATGTTTGGTAATCATTTGGTAGGTTTCAATTTTTTTTTTTTGGATAGCCAAAATACAGAAATTCAACAAGACTAGGATAACCTTAGAATGTCTGCAAAACAATGCTAAAAATAGAGTTAAGAAATTAAAGACTTCGACAATATTCAATTTTGAAGTCCCTCTCAAAAGAAAAAAAATTAAGTAGTAAAGGTAGTCCCCAACTTATGAGGTTCCATTCCAACAACTGATACAAGTAGAATGCCTCATTTTTATTTTAGTTTTCATTATTATTGCCTTTTATTATCAGTATCTTTATAAACCCAATCTTTATTTGTCT